GTTGAAAAAGAGAAGAGAAAAATAAAGACAAGAATAAAAGGAAGATATCATAATGAACAGACTCACAACACCCTGCAACCCTTTCTCCACTTCAAAAACTGTCATAACTCCTTTGATCTACGCTGCCCGATGGCGTAACCACTGGGGGACAAGGGGAAAATATCTATCTTTGAAAAATCCTCACCACCCCTTTATAAATGCCCTTTCATCCCCTGAAAGTGCCTAAAAACCTCAAATTTCGAGCGCATTTCTTGTTAACATGGCCCAATTTCCTCTAAAAATTGCACATTTTAGGGAGTTTTGATCAATTCCAACGAAATTAGAATTAAAAACACCGGGGGACAAGGGGAAAATATCCATTTTTGGAAAATCTTTCTCCACCCCTTGACAAATGCATCCTCTGAAAGTGCCTAAAATTCTCAAATTCTTTGCGCGCATTTCTTGTTACGGTAGGCCAATTTCCTCTATAAATTGCACATTTTAGGGAGTTTATATCAATTCCGACGAAATTAGAATTAAAAACACAAAAATATTTTGCGCGCTTGGCGCGCATTTTTTAGGTCTTTTTTAGTTTTATCCTTTCAAGTTATTTAAACATATAATAGTCCCAAACTCAAGAAAGACAAATTTAAGATAGATCATTTTAACCTGAAAGAAGGGCCTCATTGTGTATAACGGTGAAAGAATATGTTTGTAATAAATAAAACCATGATGAAAATGCTTATATTTAGTTTCAAACACACGTGTGTGGCCTATATTATAAATAAGATAAGCCCTATGTCGTATTGTTTTCTATATGGGGAGTGGGGTTGGGTGGGTATGGTAAATGACTAACCGGGAAATAAGTATTGTATGTTATTATTATCATTATCATTATCATTATCATTATCATTATCATTATCATTATTATTATTATTATTATTATTATTATTATTATTATTATTATTATTATTATTATTATTATTATTATGTTGTAATGATGTTGTTTGTACTGTTCTTTAATTTTATTAAAGAGGGCCCCTGAATATCAGTTAATCTACTGGGCTAAACTAGAAGGGTTATCCTCTTTAAAGATGGTTGAAATAAAAAATTTAAAAAATATATACCCAACTCTATCCCAAGACCCCTGTTACGCGCCTGGTGTTAGCGCCAATGTGTGCCCTTGTGTGGACAGAAGATGTGCCCCCTCTGAAGCTGGAAACATTGTTTTCGCAAAATAAATTGATGCAATTTGCTATTAAAAATAAGCATAATCAATAAATTCCAACCGATATAACCTTAAACATTCTTGGAATTGACATAACATTACTGATGTCGTACACACCCTTCAGTGTGAAATGTGGCTCTCTTTGCAAGCACATCTAACATCTAAGGAAAGAAAGAGCTTTGATTGGTACCAGATAAAATAATTTTGTNNNCTGTCTCTTATACACATCTAGATGTGTATAAGAGACAGTTATTTCTGTGACAGTCCTTTGAAGTGTGTAAAGCTCCATTTTATCCCATACATAGTCAAAATATTGGGGGGGGGGGATGATACAATGGACCATCCCCCCCTTGTCAAATATTGGGGGGATATATCCCCTCCATCCCCCCGGGATCTACGCCTATGGACACATATTTTCTGCCCTGTTTTCATTGACGTGTCAACATATCATTTCAACGCGTACGTTCATCGATTCGCTTTTGTCGTTGTAGGCTAGCGTAACTTGATGAGTTTCACCATAGCCTCAGACTTTATAAATGTTTCACTAAAACTGATTGACTGCTCGTTATTTCGCTTTGCAATAAGTAGAAACTGTTCTTACTCCAAAATTTGCTGAAGCAACCACCCGCAAGCCGCCGAAACGGTGAACCGTGTTTTTTAAGGATTCGCACATGTAATTTTAACCGCGCATGTGTACGGTCATACTTATTTGTTTCAAGCAAGGACATTTAACTGTACACTTAAAAGTCCTTGCTTCAAGCAAATAAATTGTGGATATCTGACTTAAAGCAGTTCACGCACTACGCCAGACTCTCGTCGGCCGACGCGATTCCGGTCCATAGGGAACACAATCCGACGGATCCGCGCAACAGATCCGTCCAGACTGCCACCAACTATCAGCAGACGGCATCTCGTAGTAAAACGCTCAGGATGAATAGAGATCGTTGGGCGACGGTCATACCATTGTGGTACGAAACAGTGCGTTCTCGCCTTAAGTTAATATTAGCAATTGATTTATTTTTATTACATTATAATGCCTTGATCAGTCTATTTTCTTCAGCTTAAACATATCTATTGTAGAATAGACCACAAACGAAAAAATTTCTCTTTTTTGTTTTTATAAGGCCTATCACTATAATTATTCATTATTGTTTACTAATTAAGCATATCTGTACAATAACAGGAACACGTGCTTCTCGTTTTACCGCAATGGCTGCGAAAATCAATGGAACCGATAGTGTTCACATTAGCTTAAGTGAACGACGAGGACTCGATGCTCGCATCAAATCTGATAGCGGATGGCAATTAGTAGACTTTGAACATATAGACTACTGGGAGTTTAATGGTAAAAAAATCAATTATTTATAATTATAGTTATGAGGGTAACTATCAGAAATACCTTTTATTAATTATTGTATACATATAATGA